GTCGTGCGGAAGAAGGAAAACCCCATGTGGATGTCTCGCCAGACCGACGACGATGATCACCCATCGCGCTTCTGCCGTTGAGGAGCCTGGAAAATACAAAACCTGCCCCCTACATAAATAATTGTTGGCGAATCGCGTGTCCCAAGGAACGTTCTTCTTTGTAGAGGCGCACGTGCCCTCTGGCTTGAAGGGAAGTGTAAAGTATGAGCCTCCTGACGCATGCTGTTGGCTCCCTCGTTTTTGTGGGACCAAGCATGCATCCCAACCCGTATATAGCCTTGTTGCTCGTCCTTCTCCTTCTTCTTCTTCTCGCTGTTTGTCTCTCTAGACCAAACATGTATCCCAGCCCGTTATACCCTTGGTGTCAGTCCTTCCTCGTCATCTCGCTGCTGTCTGCCGGTCTTTTTAGACCGAGCATGCATCCCAACCCGTTGCCCTTGGTGTTATCCGTCTTCTTCTTCTCATGGCTTCTGCCTGCCTGTGTGTCTGCCCCGTCCCAGCTCCTAAGCGCGCACGCGGCGGCCGTCCTCCGCAAGGAGCCTGAGCAGCTGACGGCCAGGGAGGAGGCGCGCATGGCGTACGCCATCGGGGGCGGGATGTACACTATCGAGAGGCTGTCGGCTCACCTTGACGCTCTCAGGGCTGGCCTACCTACCGAGTAGAGGGGGGGGGGGGCGTGGTGAAGATGGTACCTACCCGAGGATCGGGGGGCCCGTGGTGATGGACGGGGTATCTATCCAAGAATAGGGGGGGGCGTGGTGAAGATGGTACCTACCCGAGGATCGGGGGGCCCGTGGTGATGAACGGGGTATCTATCCAAGAATAGGGGGGGGCGTGGTGAAGATGGACGGGGTACCTACCCGAGGATAGGGGGGGGGCCGTGGTGAATGAACGTGGTATCTATCCAAGGATAAGGGGGCCCGTGGCGAAGATGGACAGCACAGGGAGGGGTCGTGGGTGGAAGGAAGCCCCACGTGGGAGGTACTCTGCCAAGAGTGGAGTCTGCGTCGCTCCGAGAGGGACGAAGGGAGTGAGTGCTTTTGCGGGTGAGGGAGACGAGAACATGGGGCCTGGATTTCTCCCAAGGGAGGCGGAAGCGTGGGGCGGGGGTTGCTGTTCCCGTCGTGGAGGGAAGGTTTTGACGTTGTGCTTTGTCTGTCCGCCATGATCCCTCCCAGCCCCCGTTTGCCCTGCAGTTGTTCCCCGAGCCCAATGCGTGTGTATGATCTTGATGTGTATAGGTGGTAGCAGAGATACGCATGTTGTTGTGTTGGACGTGTAACGACGAGGGCGGTGTCTTTCGTTTTTCTTTCTTCACGTCGACGCAGTTTTTTTTTTTTTTGCGTTCTTTCATGTTTTTTGGTCCCCGTGGTTGTATGATATCATTTGTATCGGGGCGCGTCTCCGTTTTTTTTGTAGTTTTTAGGTATGTTGGCGGCTTGTCAGAGTGGGTTTGTCGTCGTGTTGGATGTGAAAGGAGCGGGTCAAGGTGTGTGTGTGGTTGGGGGAGGGGTGGTTGAAACGATTAGGTTATATTTATGTTGTTGAAGGAAGGGAGAGTTGCTCGGTTACAGTAGTAGATTTTGTATCCCATGAGGTCGAGAGCTCGGATAGCGAGCTGTGGCGCATGCCGGCGCGCTGCCGCGAGATTTGCAAAATATACCGATTGAAGGAGGAAAACGTGACGATGTCAAGGGAGTTCGCTGTTCTTGGATGTTCAGGGGGGGGAATCTGTTTTGAATGTTTGCTCTTTTGCCCCGCACTAAAGCATCCCGTAGTAAGTATACTAGGGGAATTCGGTTTTTGTGCGTTCACGGCACTGCCTGCTGCTTGCTGGTTGCGGAAGTGAAGAGGCGTTTGTCAAGCTTTCCTTTTTGCCTTTTGCTTTTTTGGTCTTGAACTTTTTGACAACTATGGGAGGGCAGCAGCAGCAGCAGCAACACAGCACCCGCCAAGCCAAAGGTGCTGTTCTGGTTTTGGTGAGGCACTCGGGTCGAGACGTCGTATGCATACGCTGCGTGAAAACTCTGATATTTTTTGTGTTTCCTGGGGGGAGTATGATTCAATGTGTCTGTGCTGTGTGTTTGAGTTGTGCTGTAAACATGTCGAGCAGTACCGTATACGACACAAGATAACATACCCCCTGGGTCGATTTTCAAAGCTCGATTTATCAACAGCAGAAAGAATCGCAGCGCCGAAAACTGCAGCGTTGCAGCTGTCTGGTCGAGCGCTCTCCGAAAACGTAGTTTCGTTTTTTCATCCTCTTCGTCGTGGAGTGATGGAGCTTTGAAAATCAGTCCAGGGGATGTGTTATCTTGTGTCGTGTACGGTAGTGCCCCAACTTGGTTCTGGCGTCGGGGTGTGTAGTTTGGTTACTCCCGGTAGGCATAGCCAGTTTTTTTTTCCCAGGTAGTAGTAACGCTCTTCTACCTCTGACCTTTTGTAGAACGGAAACAGATGACGGAACGAGTCTCTCTGTTGTGAGTGTTAGGGACTTTAGCGCTGAGCCAACTCTAGCAGGTTAGTTTGCAATCCCACGCTCTCTTCTGTACTGTACGATAGTAGTCAAGAGTCGAAACATGCGCATTGATTTGTCTCGTCTCGCAGGATAGATAGGTGGTGTTGGTGTTTTTTTTTGTGTGTGTTTCTTCTTCTTTCTTTCTCTCCGCGGGCGAAAAGGACGGAAGAAATCACAGGAGAGTAGGATGCACGGGCATCACCCTGTGTCACTGGTGGGGCTGGTGGCGGCGGCGTGGTGCGTTGACACTGCTCTGCTGCTATTTTGGCTAGATTCGTATTATAAGTACCTCTTGAGTACCTCTTGTTCGTCGTTCCTTACCACTACCCCGCCCGTTGGTATGCATAGCATGCTGCGCATCCATCCATGCCCGACTACGTCCTACTTCTTCGTGAAGGAATGGACCTCGAACGAAAAAAAAATGACCACCAACGGGTGGTAGGTTGGATTGTGTTGTTGTTGCCCACGTTAGGGAAACACCGCGTATTGCAGAAGCTTGACGCAAGAATGATCAACGCAGTCAGGATGAGCCGCTCTCGATAACGTGACGGCTCGCCACATCCATCCATCCATCGGTATTTGTGCCGTACCGTGCTTTTTTCTATTTTATTTTTTTGTGTTGCCGTTTCTTCTGGACGTCCTCGTCCTTACGCCTTTCGGTACAATTCTGGACGCGCCAGCCAGGGTCACATAGACAGGAGGAAGACAACAATTTTCTCCACCTTCTCTGTACAAGTATGTGTGTTTCTTTTCTTGCGCCAAGCACTCGTTGGGTCCACTCCTCCATCCATCCAATTGAAGTAAGTGTCCTTTCGCAACACTCCCTCCCGATCGAGCATGAATGAGCTTTCCTGTTGTCGGGTCTGCGAGGCAGCGTCTTTTCCTCGCCGTTTTCTGCCAAGAACATGCGGAGCATGCACTTTCTTTTTCGTGTGCGGTGTGGCGTGGAATGAATGGATGCGATTTTCCTGCATGCGTTCCCATCCAAACAACAAAGAAAGTTGATGGCGTCAAACTCCAAGAATAATAATATTGTTGGTAACCCAACCAACCCCGTCCCATTTTTCCCGTGTTCCCATTTTCACTTCTTCTACAGCTTGTCGTCTATCGAATGGTGTTACGAGGACATCGATCAGTGACACCATAGATAGATAGCCGTGCTATCTCTACAGCAGGTGAAAAGGTGCAATCTCTGCGAGGGGCACGTTGATCACTTTTATCGAAAATCGAGACTGGCTAGAGACGGATGGAATCATCAGTGTAATTATCCACGAAGCTCGGAGCGGGGGCAAAAAGCAGGAGGGTGGGGATGAGAAAAACAATCACTCGGGGTGCAGAGTTCTTGCTTCTAAGCTCCCTTGTTGCTGAGCAAGTTTTGGGAACGACCCTGTGTGCCTGTGCATATATATGCTGTTGGTGTTCCTCTGCGTGGGTCGAACGAGCTACCATACTTGCGCATATTGTAATCAGTACGGACAGATGAAGGTAGCGGGTAGAGAGAGAGGATTTAAATGCGAACACAACAACAACAACGACAACAACCAACACACGCAAGGTTTGCATACACGTGTACGTACAGCAGGTGTGCACATTTAAAAATAGTACGCACACGTACGTACGTGCCGGTGTCCACAGTATTTCGAACGGTTGTAGTCTTTTTTTTTTTTTTCTTAATATGACACAACGAAACCATCTCTTATGTGTAGACCATTTTCCATGCACATCAGCAGACATTGTGCTAGCATACGCACTACGGCGCGGTACTACTGTAGTATCCACTTGCTCGTCCCTCCCTGCGGTTGGATCTGTGTCCATTACCACTAACCTCAAGGTTGATGCCCGCGCATTGTCGTGGTTGAACTGGTGCTGGTTGTGTTTGAAAGTTTGAATTGCATGCGCTGCATGCGCCGTGTTCGCTGCTTTTTCATTGGTTAATAATCTCGCCGCAAGTGGGTTTCGTCGATGCGGGCGCGTTGCATTAGGGGGTTCAACGTTGCCGCTGCTGCTGCTGCCAGAAGAGCCAAGAACCTGAAGCGGCTCTACTCGCCCACTCGCTCCTCCACGACACACACACCAGCAGCCGAACCACGAGATGAACTTGGCGAGGGTCATGCGCACTCGGCCCTGTCGTTGGGCTGTTGTTGCTCCCAAGCAGCACTATCAGCAGCAGCAGCTGACAGCCGCCGCCGCTCTCAGGTCTTCGTCTTCCGCAGCAGCGGTAGTAGCGACAGAGCCGGACCGGGAACAGCCGCATCACCACCACCATCGTCACCAAAAGGGTTCTTCTTCTCCCGCCCCCTCGCGTGCTGCTGCTGCTGGCGTCCCGCCACCTCTAGCATGGAAAGTCCCCGCTGGTCAAGAGGCCTCGTCCGGTGTTGTCGGTACTCGTCAACATGTGGTGTTGCCTCAGGACGACGAGCTACAGCTGCAGCACCATCAGGTCGGCCCCGCGCCGCCCGGCGACTTGAGGCTGGTCGAGTTCATGGAGCAGGTGAAGATGGAGCTGTGGGAGTTCAGCGCCATGCCTCTCAGGAAGCGGTTCCGCATCCAGAGCCTCCTGAGGTGAGAATTTCAGTGGGAGAGAGACGGTTTTGTTCGGTTAAATTCTCATCGCCTCTCCCTGCGTCGTTCCACTGCAGACTATATTGTACATAGATACGGTCTCTCTGCAGGGCTTCGGCGACGAAGCTGTGTAAGCTTGGCAGAAGGCGATGGGCATGATCTGGCTGTGAGAGACTTAGGCATCGCCTCGTCGTACAGATGTGGGTAGTCGCCAGGGTCTGGCCAGACCAACCTCCTTTTCGTTAATTTTTTTAAACTAAGAATTCGTGACCAAGGGTGCTGGCTGTATCCTTCTGGCTCTCTCCATCAAGACCGCTCCTGTACTGTAGACAGCGAATTCGAACCTCTCTGGAGTAAGCAATCGCACAAATAGTAGCGGTGGGTTGTACTCAACAATCGTGAATACGCACAGAAGAGGACATCATCTACTGCACCCCTTCAGAAAATGAAGGGAGGAGAGGTTGTACTTCCTACTACTACGTCGCCTGCGAGATCCGTGTGAGACACGAAGAAAGGCTGTCCGACTTGCAGTACACACGCATGTTTCGTGTGGGAGGTTTGCTGCGTAAGACTCGCCGTCGGATTCAACCACCCATCACTTACACAGGGGCGAGAGAAACGAAAATAACTTCGAATTCCCCGTTCATCCTCCTTGCGCGAACGATAACTATTCATTTCGTGTATGGCGTATAAGCGTTTGTATGACGAGTGTGACATGGATATTTGTATTGTCGTGGTAGTTACCGTGATGAGGATTCCGATTCCAACCCCCGTCCTCGCTCTCTACTTGTGAGGGTAGAATGCGTACCTGCTGTGAGAAGAGGATAACGCATCAAAATGCAACTACAGCTAACTGTGAGTGACACCAGGCAAGGAGCGGCGGACCTTGCCCCCTTCCCTTTAATTTCTTTGTTTCTCCATTAATATTTAGACTACGATGACGCTCCCCCCCACGCACACACACGCATGATGGTTTGTTCGTGCTGCAGACGGCTTCACACGCCACCGCTGGAGACCTGGAGCCACGCGCTGGCGAGGTCTACGGGTGAGACAAATGTAGGCATGCACCCGCAAATAAGAATAAACGCTGCTTTGTTGCCCAAGGCACACAGAAAAAGTCCAGGTACAACACGGATGTTTTTTTATGTTGGCGAGACAAACGCATGTGCATGCACCCGCAACAAGAGGATACACCGCTCGCTGCTTTCGTTGTCGGTAGGGCGACCATGTCGCGGCACACACAAGAATCCATGTAAAACACGGGCGTGTTGCGGTACAGTAGCATGTATACGGGGAAGCGCTGATGCACACCAACAGCGGGAAGCTGTTCGCACTCGCGTACTAGAAGTATTCCGGCTAGCCGTGTACGCAGGGTCATTGTTTCAAGTTGAAGGTAGAAAGACGCCTAACTCCGTTCTCACCAAACGATTAACAACCCTCCCCCCCCGCCCCCGAAAAACTCAATTCTCGTGGAATACTTTCCTTCCTCCGATAGCAAAGCGCCTGCCCATTGTGACGAACGCCCCGAGTTTCACTACCACCCAAGCCACGAGGATCAGTATGATCCGTCTCAAGAGGAACGTAGTGATCTCTGTTGACGTGTGAAACAGGTGCCGCCCCGCCAACGAAAAACCTGCCAGGCGCGCGCGGTCAAATCAGAACGTTTTTCGCGAGCGAATGCCCGTTCTTCTTACCCCCGGCCGCCCGCTCGCTCGCTTCCGTCTTTCTCCCGCGCTTACCGACAGAAGAGGGTCCCCGACCTTTCACGAGGACTTTGCTCGCGAGGTATCAGCCCTCCTCGTCCGTTCCGGAGCGACTGGACGTCGACGCCCCCGGGTTCGACCTGCTGCTGCTCTGCTGGAGACCCGGGGCGGTGTCAGACATCCACGACCACCCCAAGGCTGCCTGCTGGGTGAAGGCGCGTGCCACCGCCGCTACCACGTTCGTTGTAGTCATTCGTTGCGTTTTCGCGGGCACTTGTGATCAATCACGGGTTTGCAGCGAGAACTTCTTGCTAGCAGTTTCGGCTTGCCTCTTCCTGCACACGCATTGCCGTTCTCCCAGCTCTGGCTTCTGCTGCTGCTGCTGCTGCTGCTGCTGCTGCTGCTGCTGCTGCTGCATCTGATTGGTCGAATAATGTCCTCGTCACCTGTTTCCACTCACAGGTTTTGACAGGGGAGATCAAGGAGACGCGGTACTCTCTCGCCCCCCCCGCCGACAGGGGAATCACCAGCGGCGACGGGGACGGCGGGGGGAACATGGTCCAGACCTCCTCCGTCACCTGCACCCCCGGCGCGGTGACCTACATCGAGGACTCGATGGGGCTTCACAAGATGGAAAACCCGAGCAGCACTGAGGAGTGCATCTCGCTGCACCTATACTCGCCTGGGATACTAGAGTGCACCACCTGGGCGGACGCTTCGTGCGGCAGGTAAGGAAAGAGAGCGCGCGCGCGCGCGCGGGGGGGGGGGGGTACTCATGTCAGTCGCATGCCGCAGTCGCTGGGCTGTTGACCGCGCATCCCTACAATGCGGGGACGGAGCGACATGCCGGGTTTTTCGCCGGCCCAGGCTGCCGGGGGAGGGGTGGGATGGTTTTTGTTCTGTTTTTGGTTGTGTTTGGCGAGCCGACAATGATACCCCCAACACCACCACCGCTTCCGGTTGTGGAATTTGGTGGCAAGGAGTTGAACCGTAGTTCTTGGCAAAAGAAGTCTTTATGCGTGTGAAAACCTCACAGCTAACTTCGCCCCACTTACCACCGAAAGTTTTTTTTTCTTATCGCACTCTTTTTTTGCGGGTGGTTTCTTCCTTGCTGTGCGGCGTGTCTTGGCTCTCTGCTTCCCCTTGCAGCAAGCCTGTGAAAGCGCCCATGTTTCTTGACGGCAACTTCACCAAGAGGCAGAAGAAGCGGAGATTCGACCTGCAGTAGCAGCCAGGCTCGGCAACAACGTGAAAGCGGTGGGGGATCAAGCGGGGGGTCAAAGTCATAGGACGAGAGGGGGTACGCAAACGGGGCGGGGAGGGGGGGGGGGCG